GTAATAGCTCTACAGAGAATGACTATCCAGAGCTTATCTCTCTTTCCAAAAGGTTGTTTATTTCTAAAAGGAAATAGAGCTTATCAAGTGGCATGAGTTCTATTATACAGGAATATCCATATGATCAGTTGGCAAACATTTTCTGAGCTCCCTCTACGTGTGATACCTGCAGAGCTGAGGCCACACAGAAAGGCAGCAGCAGGGTGGAAGCTGAGCCTAGATCTTCTCCTCCCTGGCCCTTTGCTTTTCCTCCCAAGCCTATCAGTAGGGCCCCATTACCCAACACTTGCTGGGGTGTGTGTGTGTCCTGTTCTCTGGCTCAGAAGCCTGACCACACAAAATGGATGTTCACAAGTGGCTTGTGGTACCCCTGTGTCACTTCTTCTAGCAAAGATGTAAAAGAACAAAACGAACACAAATGCCCACTTAGCAAAATCTAGGCAGAAACTGCACTCCAGGGACATCAATTATCTTTTCTCCTTCTGGGTTAATATCTTGGCCCCAAGGAGTGTCTCATCCTTATCTTTGTGCCCTAGCTACATCGTTGCTAGACGACATCCACAGGACAGGCAGAGCCTATCATCCTGGACACCAGGAGAACTTTCTCATCCCTACAAAACCCACACAAAGTGGCCTACTCCACCGACACTAGGCGTGGTTTGACCTGGTATTTTAAATAATATATGAAATGATGGGGGAAAAAAAGAAATGAAGGAAGGCATGTGCAGGCCAATGATTAGAATATTGCAGAGCTATGCTCACCCTGTCATAGCCACGGGCCATGTGAACAAAATGAGCCCTCTGGTTCTCAAGCCATGCATTGGAAAGGGGGTCATTTGGAAGGAGAACAAAGTATCAGTGTCAAGCTCAGTTCTTAAGAATCTTTGCAGAAAGTTTTGATGGAAAGATGAAAAGAAGAACGTCCGCAAGTTCGGCAGCAAATATAAAAGGCCTTCCTATATTTTTGGACAGGTAGGTCCAGGAGAAGCCCAGCCAGAGCTCTTACAGCATGGAATAGGGAGTGTTTGCCAGTGTAGAATTCCTGATCTTAGCTCTGCCTGTGTGCCAATATGAGTTCATTTAGGAAAAGCTGTTTATCATATTTTTAGTGATATCATTCATTAAAGTATAATATCTGTACCTATTTTAAAACATTGAGCTAAAAAACAGAACAAAACAAAACAAAAAACGTTGAGCTAAAAGGGAAAAATGTAACTTCTAAGGAAAACACTGGGTTTTGTAGAATTTGAAATAGATTTTCACAATGCTCAGTAATTTATTAGATCCCTTTGTGCTGTAATGATTTGGTTCTCTTTTGAATCCTGTAGATATTGAGGAAGCACAAGGATTCAATAATTATTGGTTAAATGAATGAATGAATGAATGTTCCAATTAAGTTGTTGGAACCTCCCAAGGTACTTTAAATATGGGATAAATAGGCTACTATTGAATCATGGTGACCAATTTGGTAATATTTTAATAGAAAGTATATACATTAAAATGACACAAAAAGAAATGAAGATAATGCTCCACTTGTCCAAGATCACAAAGAAAGTCATTTTGTGGATTAAAGATGCCAACACCAAAGACGTGAGGAACAGAATGATGATGGTGGTAAATCCCCAGTAGGTTTTCTACTGTTTGGGAGAGCTCCTTCTAGGAGGGAGTGTGGAGGAGGAAAAGAGGCTGCCAAAAAATAGGCGGTATGAACCCTTTCTTCCTACAAGGCTGGTCTCAGGAATTCTCTGAAAGACAGCCCTACCCCTGCCCCCCCATGCCTCTCTTCAAATAAAGAAATCTACTGGAAATCTTCCCCTTTGTTCCATGAAACTGTCCTTAATGTGACATCCCTACCCATCAATCCCCCATGAGCCACTCTTGAACCGGGGACGATGCTGGGGACAGCTGAGTCAGGTGCGCAAGGCCCTCTGTGTTTCTGGCAGGCCTGTCCAAAGAGGCTCCTGCCTTGATGGAAGAGTAGATGTTAGGGAATGGGCAAGGTCTGTAAGGAGATCCAAGGAGATGGTGACCAAGGTCTCTGGTTTATACATCAGAACACTGAAAGCACAAGGACTGATGGAAACAAAGGATCAAGTATATGAGATTTGGCCATCCCAAAATCTCCAGGGCCCAGAGGAGCTGTAATTGGAGACTCTATCCTTGGGCTGCTCCTCTGGACTAATACCCTGAGCCCCTGTGGTGGGTCCTAAGGTAATATCTGCAAGTTATCCACACCAGTATCTACTGACCATGCATCAGAACTGGGTTAAATTGGCAAACCATGCCAAGAGGAATTGAAGCAACTTTGGAAACCAGTAGCCTTCTAAGATAAACTCCATGAGCTTTCTCCTATTAGTTGGTAGTTTCTGGGTCTCAGACATAAGTAGCAAACCCTTTGATTTTGGGGAAAAAAAAAAATCCCATGAACTTCCTGACAGAGAATTAGATATTCTATAGCAGATACATCCTAGCTGCTACCGAATTAATAGTTACAACTTCCAACCTAGATATGCAGAGTCAAGAGGAATTAAACAAATTCCCCTTTCCCACCTGTATTATTTATCTATTGCTGTGTGACAAATTACCCCAAAACTTAGTGGCTTAAAATAACATTTATTATCTCACAGTTTCTGTGGCTCAGGAATTCAGGTGCAGCTTAACTTGGTCCCCTGGCTCTGGGTCTTTCACAAGGCTGCAAGCATCCCAGAGTTCAACTAGGGCAGGATCTACTTCCTAGCTCATTCATATGGTTGTTGGCAGGATTCCATTTCCCACAAGCCATTGGTTCCTTGCCATATAGGCCTCTCCACAGAGCTCACACCATGGCAGCCTGCTTCACCCACTTGAGAAATACGGGAAAGCCTTCCTAAAAATTAGGATGTCCATTTAGAACCAAAAGTTATATGGTGTTCTCTATTCCAGGGACTCCAACATTTTCCTGATTAAGGGTCACTTTAAATTTCCCCAGAGTTCTATGAAAGACCAAAAAGAGGGGGGGCTATTGAGGAAACAGAGCTTGACCGTGGGAGGTCCCACACTCTCACCCTCCCCCGCCTTCTGGGAACTCATTCCCTTAAGCCTTGGGGTAGAGGCTTGGCAAAGCCGCAAAGAAAAGACCACAGAGATGGTGGTTAGGGAACCTGCTCTCCTCTGGAGACTGAGAGGGCATTCACTATTCTCAAACGGCTGACACTGGGCAAAATCGCCTTTGGGCAAAATTTCCACAAGAGGAAATCTTAAAGACAAAGTCTCAGGCAAACCAGCAACATTGGAAAGGATTAAAGAAGTTCAGGTGTCAGGGGGAAAGTATAAATGTACTTAAATGGACCCAAGAGGAGTTATAAGGTTGATTCTGAGGGCTGAGTGATCTGTACTTAGAGACGAGCTTGAAGAGAAAATCTATACTGGCCAGAGACCAAGTTAATGGAAAATTTAATTGAAGAGAACGAAAGGCTAAGCCTCATGGGTGGTGTGGCCTGGTGCCCTTTGAACCAGGAAGGCTGGGACAAGAGGCCATAGGGGGCCCTAAGGGAAAACGTGATGAGCTTATCTGAGCCAGAACAAGGGGCGGGACCGAGCCGGAGTAAAAGAAACCTGCAGACCTCCACAAGAACCGCAGTGAAAGGCGGCAGGAGGGCAGAGAGGAAATCTGCTTGTTTCGGACACCGAGGAGTCCCGCCGAGGGCCTCCCTGCCGCCCACAGCTGAGCACGCGCTGGGCGCTGGCAGCGGTGCTGGCGAGAAGCGTGCATGCAGCTGCCTGGTGGCAGAGACCCAACCACTCAAGGTAGGAAGTGAAGCCCAGGTCCGGCTCTGAGCAGGGGAGGGGCAGCTCTACTGGGACCTGCTAGTGTCTCCTGGCCCTTCTCCCTCCTGCCCCCCTTCCTCTTTCTGCTTCTCTCCTTGCAGGTCTCTTTCCCTGCATTCCTGAACTCACTGGCTGTGCTCCTTAGGTGGTGGCACCTGGTTAAGCAGAGGGGAATAGTTATTCCACGGTTATTCACGTGGCGGTGTTATCAGGCCGACTCTGTTACTTCCTTTTCTCATCTGGGGTTCAGGGCTAGGGATCCGTGGTGCCGCTATCTCTTTAAACAGCAGAGCCAAGGCGCTCACACACGGAGCCCTCTGGACACTGGTCCAGTGGTCTGACCTTCTTGTCAGCCTGAGCAGGGTCACGTGGCCTGCTGGGCTAGGCAGACCCGCTGGCAATCAATCCCAAGAGAGGCAATGGCTTTCAGCCTGGGGGAAGGTAGCAGAGCTGATTGTAGAAAGGGTTCACTCTGTGCAGCTGCTCCTTCAGCTGGGACGTTGTGACTGATATGAGGAAAGGGGAGTGGAGGGTGAGAGAGAGAGAGAGTGTGTGTGTCTGTGTGTGTGTGTGTGTGTGTGTGTGAGAGAGAGAGAGAGAGAGAGAGAGAACTGTTTAGTGCTGGGAAGAACAGTGTCTGAGACTCTGGGATTTAGGGTTATTATTGCACTCAGAGAGATTACTTGAGAATAATTTTGCAGACGGTGGTGTTGTCACTTTTCAGGGCTTCATTTGGTTAAAGAATCCAAGTAAAGTGCCATTTAAAATTCTTTAAATAAATTAAACAGTCCAAGCTCACTTAACTGTGAGCAGTTGGCTCTTGTGTCCTACCTGAAAAGGGGCCAACACCCCCTGAACTAAACCTCCGGCAGCAGTGTCTGGAGTCTCACCCAAGTGGGCCCCTCTTTCCTCCCTGGACCGCTGTCGCTGCTTTGGGACTTTCTCTTTCTCTCTCTGGCTCTTGGCTTTCTCCTTCCTGTCCCTCTGCCTCTTCCTCTTCTCTTTGGAGTTTCTGCACTTTCCAGGTGCTCAGCTGATCCTCCAGAACTGCAGCAGGATGGCCTGTGCTGGGCGTCCCCCAGGCCTCTGCAGGGGTGTGGGTGGAGGGAGGAGTCCACACACTCCTGACTCAGACCCTAGAGCTTTGTTCTCCAAACAAGGAGGCTTAGACCTGGTTCAGGTTCAGGAGCAAAGGGGTATCCTTTGAGGCTTGAGTGGGTTTGAAGTCTTCTAGAGTATTTTTTAGCCTAATAGGCAGGCTTTATACGTAGCAGCTGGGGAAACCATAGTCCACAAGCAGATTAGCTATGGTGAAAAAGGCACGTCAGCCTCTTTTGAATGTTCCTAAGACACCAGACCTTGAAGACGTGGCAGCCTTCTTTGAATGTGCCATTTGTGCCTGTGCCTTTCTACTTAAGCATGCCCTTGTGATCGTATGAAAGCAGATTAATCCTTTTTCTGGAGGAAAGATTTAATGATTTATAAGTGGCATCCTTAGTGTCTTGGATAGAGGCAGGGGGTTATAGAAGAGAAGCACATACAATGCCTCTTGTTTACCCTGCTTTGCTGAGCTGGTGTGCACAACGATGAAACGGCCTTAAATAGAGGCTGGGCTGGATCCTCTTGTTTAATGAGAGGTGCCAGGGTGACAAGGTAGCTCGTTTCAGATGAGAAGGGATTTTCTAAGAATCCAGGAAAAAAGACTGGGAACGTCTTAATCTGTCAGCCCTGTGGTTTAACACAAGTCTGTGTGCGGGAATCGGATCCACGCAGGGCACTCTCCGCAGATGATCCCAGGTCTGCTGGCCCCATCTGGTGTTCACTCACCAGTCAGCCACAAAACTGCTTGAAAAGTGTAGTTCTCTCTCCAAGGAGATTTGGTCCTTTTTGTTTTTGTTTTTTACCAACTTTAAATAGTGGTTTTGGGTAACAAACAATTCACGCGCCACACTTTATTAAATTCATCTTACCTGTATGTTGGATGACTTAATGGTTTTAATAGTATAAAGGGTAGGTACCCAGCAGTCATCGTTTTAACTGAAGCAAGAGGAATTGGGGTTAGGTGTAAGGAAGACATTTCAGGCAATGAGGTTTGTGGCACAATGACCTAACTGTGAGGAGATTGTAAGATCTCTTTTGGGGAAGCTTTTAAATAAGAGGCTCAGTTATTTAATTTATTTTCTGCTCCAAATAACACCCTGCCTGAAAAGAGAATTTGGGGCAAGCTCAAGGCATTCCACCGTTAATTTACCACCTTCACAATTTTTGCTATGTCTGACTAAAACCGATAGAAGTGTTTACTCAAGATATTCCTTGAAATGGATTCATTTCTTTTAACCGTAGCCTTTAGTCATCTTAAGCAGTGATACCTTATCAGTGAAATCATAGTTTGATGAGCTAACTATATTTTATTGCTGTGCACTAAAATATATGACTGTAATAAAATAACGTTCACCTGTTTTTGTGTCCTCCAAAAACATACATGTTCAAGTCCTAACCGCAGGTACCTGTGAAAGGGACCTTCTTTGGAAATAGGGTCTATGCAGAGGTAATCAAGTTGAGGTCACACTGGATTATGGGCGCTAATCCAACGACTGATGTCCTTATAGAGGGAAATTTGGACCCAGACACAGACAAAAAGGGAGAACGCCATGTGACCACAGAGGCAGAAATTGGAGTGGTGTGTCTGCAGCCAAGGAACACCACGGATCATTGACTATCACCAGAAGCAGGTAGAGGCAAAAAAGGATCTTCTAGAGCCTGCAGAGAGCATGGCCCTGACGACACCTTGATTTCAGAACTGTAGCCTCCAGAAGTGGGAGAGAATATATTTCTGTTGTTTTAAGTCACCAAATCTGTGGGAATTTCTGCAGCCTTAGGAAACTAATACACCTAAGTGCCGCCGAGAATCATCCCCTGGTGGGCCAGCGCAACACATTTTAACACTCGGGGAAATGCTGAGCCGGGTGCTCTGTGAAGGTCCTTTTCAGTCCTGGGGTTGAATAATGATGGCCTTCATTGTATCAGCCATTTTTACACTCAGGTATGATGTAAGTGTCAGCACCCCTATTTATAAAGGTGAGGAAAAGGCTGCGTTAATCGGGTTTGAGCAGATGCATCTGTCAATTCTGAATGGCACCCTGATGTGTGCACCTGAACGTGCTAATCACTCCCAGGCTTCCTGGGAGCTACAGGCTGTGTAGGACCGCGGCTGGGGCTTAGTGATCTGTTTCCATGGCTGTCCACCTGGCCGCCTTTGGAATCACTGTCACATCCTTTGCTGGGTAGAGGGCTATTGCTTGACGCTCTCTCAAGTCGGTTTTACTTTCTGATGAATTCATTTGGATCATAGCCCAGAAGCTGGCTTTTATTACCTTTGATCTCACCCATGGTTGTCTGTAGTTTTTAAACCAATAAGGTCCATATTCCCTTGTTCCCCATTTCCACATGTGGTCATAGGGGAACAATGTTCCATCTGCATCTCTATTTTCCAGCTGTAGTGCAGATTGGTGAATATCTGCATTCCCTACCTTAGACTATCAGACTTCCATAGGCATATTTAATTTAGATTTAATATATTTAATAAACAGAATAAATGTTTTAGATTTTTTTCATTGTTTACCGTGCATCTACATGAAGAATTTATATTTAGTTCTTTATAATCTGAATTTTAACATGTCTTCTGTGTAACAGCAGCCTCACTGCCCAAATGTCTACTTAATATTTATTGAGAGCCTTCTGAATGCCAAGCACCATGCCAGACACTGGGGACACAAAAAGGATTAGTATCCCAGACTATGGAAACTTTTCAATGAAGGGAATATAATGGCAGGCTTCCTGCTCACTTGCTTGGAATGTGCTGGCCCATAGTAGGTGCTCAAAATATGTTAGTCTTCCTCTTCCTCGCTCCATTCAAGAAGCAGCCTAGTATCTAGCTCCATAGCCAGGTCCTTCCTGCTGATGTCTTCTGACCAGGAGGGAAGATGCAATAGAGGCCATCTAGGGGAAGGTGCAGAGTTCCAGGTTCCTGAAGACATCGTTCAGCACTGCATTAGCCACAAAGCATGAGGCACAGAGCATGCATGCCTACCCTTTGCTGCTCAGTTTTCCTGTGTCCAAGTGGCCAAAGCAGTGTTGGATTTGACTGTACAACACTCTCAAAAATGTGTTTACAGCCAAACACTGGGCCTCCACAATGAGTTTTTAAAAGCAGCTTTATGGAGATATAATTCATACATCATACAATTCACCCATTTAAAGTGTATTATTCAATGGTTTTTAATATATGTGCAACTATCACCCCAGTCAACCCCGATTCCCCCAACCTCCAAATCCTAAGCAACCACTAATTTACTTTTATCTCTATAGATTTGCCTATGCTGGACATTTCATACAAATGGAATCATTTGATATGTGGTCTTTTGTGGCTCAGTTTCTTTACTTAGCATAACATTTCAAGGCTCATTCACACTGTAGCACGGATCAGTACTTCATTCCTTTTTATGCCTGAAATTATTCCATTGTATGCATATGCCATGTTTTGTTTATATATTCATCAGTTGACAGTTTTTTGAGTTATTTCCACATTTTGGCTATTATGAATAGTGTTTCTGTAAACATTCATATATAAATTTTTATGTGGAAATTTCATTTCTCTTGGGAATATATATATATACATACATACATATATACACATATATATATATATCCATACACACACATACATACACACACACCTAGGAGTAGAATTGCTGGGTTGTATGGTGAATTTATTTTTAACCATTTGAGGAAGAGCCAGACTGTTTTCCAAAGAGGCTGCATCATTTTACATTCCCACCAGCAGTGTGTGAGGGTTCCAATTTCTCTACAGTCACCAACACTTGCTATCATCTGACTTTTTGATTATAACCATCCTAGTGAGTGTGAAGTGGTTCCTCATTGTGGTTTTGATTTGCATTCCCCAATGACTAATGATTTAGAACAAGTTTTCATGTGCTTATTGGCTATCTGTCTATCTTCTTTGGGAAAATGTCCATTCAAGCCCATTTTAAAATTGGGTTATTTGTCTTTTGATTGTTGAGTTGTAAGAGTTTTTTTAATATACTCTGGATATGAATTCTTTATCAGAGGTATGATTTGCAAGTAATTTCTCACATTCTGTGGGTTTTCTTTTCACTTTCTTGATAGTGTCTTTCAAAATGCAAAAGTTTTAAATTTTGATAAATTCAATATGTCTATTTTTTCTTTTGTTGCTCATGCCTTTGATGTCAAATCTAATAATACCTTGTCAAACCCAAGGTCGTAAAGATTTACCCCTATATTTCCTTCTAAGAGTTTTATAAGTTTTTGCTCTTACATTTAGGTCTTTGATCCATTTCAAGTTAATTTTTGTATATGGTATGAAGTAAGGGTCCAACTTCATTGTTTTGCATGCAGATATCCAGTTGTCCAAGCATCAGTTGTTGAAAAGACTATTCTTTTCCTATTGAATGATCTTGGCACCTTCATTGAAAATCAGTTGAACATGACACATAGGTTTATTTCTGGACTCTCAACTCTATTCCATTGTTCTATATGTCTCTCCTTAAGTCAGTACCACACTGTCTTTGTTACCATTGCTTTGTAGTAAATTTTGAAATTGGGAAGTGTGACTACTCTACTTTATTCTTCTTTTTCCGTTATTGTTTTGGCTATTTATGGTTCCTTGAAAATCCATATGAGTTTTAGAATCAGCTTGTCAATTTCTACAAAGAAGTCAGCTGAGATTCTGACAAGAATTGCATTCAATCCATAGATGAATTTAGGGTGTAAGATGGTAATAATCTTAATAATATTAAGTCCTCTGATTCATAAACATGGAATTTTTTCCAATTAAGTATTTAGATCTTCTTTAATTTCTTTCAATAATGTTTTGTAATTTTTAGAACATAAGTTTTATACTGCTTTTGTTAAATTTATTCCTCAGTATTTTATTCTTTTTAATACTATTATAAATTGAATTCTTTCCCCAATTTCATTTTCATATTGTTTAATGCAAATATATAAAAGTACAATTGATATTTGCATATTAATTTTGTATCCTGTAACTTTACTGAATTCATTTATTAATTTCAATTAATAAAAGTGTGTTATTGGATTCCTTAGAATTTTTTACATACAAGAGATAGTTTTACTTCTTCCTTCCCAAATTAGATGCTTACCTACTTGCCCTGGCTGGAACCTCCAATACAATGTGGAATAGAAGTAGCAAGAATAGAGACATCTTTGTGTTGTTCCTGATCTTAGGAAGAAAAGCATCCGGTCTTTCACCATTAACTACGATGTTAAGTGTAGGTTTTATTATGGATGCCCTTTTTCAGCCTGAGGAAGTTCCCTTCTATTCCTAGTGTGTTGAGTGTTTTTCTCATGAAACAATGTTGGATTTTTTCAAACGCTTTTTCTGCATCTATTGAGATAATCACATGATCTTTGTTTTTTATTGTGTCGATATCACATATTACATTAATTGATTTTCAGATGTTAAAGCAACCCTGCATTCCTGAAACAAATCCTACTTGATCATGATGTATAAGTCATTTTGTATGTTAAGGATTTGTTTTGCTAGTATATTGTTGAGAATTTTTGCATCCATATTAATGAGACATTGATCTGTAGTTCTCTTGTGATGACTTTGTCTAGTTTTGGTATCAGGGTATTAGTGTTCTCATAGAATGAGTTGGGAAGTATTCCCTCCTTATATTAGTCTGCCTGGCTGCCATAACAGAATACCACATACTAGGTAGCTTTAACAACAGAATTTATTTTCTCACAATTCTAGAGGCTAAAAGTCTGAGATCAAGGTGTCATCAGGGTTAGTTTCTGGTGATACTTCTCTTCCTGGCTAGTGGACAGCCACTTTCTGTGTCTTCACGTTGCCTCATCTCTGTACATGTGTGTGAAGAGGGAGAGAGCTCTCTCATGTCTCTTCCTTTTCTTGTCAGTACTTTCTTTTTAACCAGTCCTATCAGGTTGAGGTCTTACCCTTAAGACCTTACTTAACCTCTATTTCCTCCTTATGGACCCTCTCTCCAAATATAGTTGCAATGGGGGCTAGGGCTTCAACATATGAACATTTGAGGGGGACACAATTCAGTCCATAGCACTCTTTTTTTTACTTTTTGGAAGAATTTGTGAAGAATTGGTTTTAATTTTTCTTTAAATACTTGGTAGAATTCACCTATGAAGCCATCCGAGCCTGGGATTTCTTTGTTTTTTGATGACTAATTTAATCTCTTTAATTGTTATAGGTCTATTCAGATTGTCTATTTCTTTTTGTCAGTTTTGATAGTTTGTCCATTTCTTCTAAGTTACCTAACTGATTGGCATAGAATTGTTTGTAATATTTCTTAATAATCCATTTTATTTCTGTGAGATTGGTTTTAATGTCATCTCTTTCATTTCTGATTCTAGCAATTTGAGTCTTCTCTCTTCTTTTCTCAGCCAATCTAGCTAAAAGTTTGCCAATTTTGTTGATCTTTTCGAAGAGCCAGCTTTTGGTTTCTTTGATTTTTCTCTATTTTTCTATTCTCTTTAATTTTCACTCTAATCTTTATTATTTTCTTCCTTCTGCTTGCTTTAAGTTTAGTTTGCCCTTTTCCTCCCAGTATCTTAATGAGGAAGATTAGGTTATTAATTTGAGAATGTTCTTCTTTTTAAATATAAGTATTTACAGTTACAAATTTTCTCTAGGCACTGCTTTAGCTGCATTCCATATGCAATGGTTTTTATTTCCAGGCAAGCTCCATATGCATCCCCATCTATGAGAAGACCTGCTAGTTCCCCTAATAAAATCTATTCTTAATCTTTCAATATCTATGTTGTGCGAGGAATCCATACATGAAGAAGACATCTGGATCTTGTGGCCCAAATGTGTTTACTCATTGCCAACATTGGAGGATCCCTTGGTTTTTGTTATTCTAATGCCTTTGGGGAATGTCTGTATCTGTTTTGATCATGTGTAGTATATAGATGATTGTTGATGGGGCTAGACAGATATGGTCTTGTCTGGGGTGGGAGGGACTGAAGAAAAGGAATTACTAGAATATTTTTCTTCCTCTTTCTATCCCTATAATTCCTCTGGACTTTGTTCTTCAAAACAAAACAAAGCAAAACACCCCACACCATTTGGCCACAGGTATAGCTCGCAGAGTTCAACAGGCTGCAAGAATGAGCTTTAAAAGTGTAGAAAGTCCTGATCTACTTGGGTGGGGGAGCTGATGATGAGGTTGGCAGAGCCTCCAGGTCCTCTACTCCCCCTGCACTTTAGATTGGTTCTTTCTCTCTCATCTGCAGGGTTTGGGGAAGACCATGGGGCCATCCAGATCAGCATTTGTGTCCCTAGTTTGTTAGCTTTGGTGGAAGGTTAGTGCCCTTGTGTGTACTGGAACTAAAAGTGTCGGGAGGAAGCACCATCACACCTGTGTCAGAGCCCAGGCCAATCATCAAAAAATCTACAAACGATAAATGCTGGCGAGGGTGTGGAGAAAAGGGAACCCTCTTGCACTGTCGGTGGGAATGTAAATTGATAGAGCCACTATGGAGAACAGTATGGAGGTTCCTTAAAAAACTAAACATAGAACTACCATATGACCCAGCAATCCCACTACTGGGCATATCCCCTGAGAAAACCATAATTCAAAAAGAGTCATGTACCACAATGTTCATTGCAGCACTATTTACAATACCCAGGACATTGAAGCAACCTAAGTGTCCATCGACAGATGAATGGATAAAGAAGATGTGGTACATATATACAATAGAATATTACTCAGCCATAAAAAGAAATGAAATTGAGTTATTTGTAGTGAGGTGGATGGACCTAGAGTCTGTCATACAGAGTGAAGTAAGTCAGAAAGAGAAAAACAAATACTGGATGCTAACACATATAAAGGGAATCTAAAAAAAAAAAGGTTCTGATGAACCTAGAGTTAGGACAGGAATAAAGATGCAGACATAGATAATGGACATGAGGACAAGGGGAGGGGGAAGGGTAAGCTGGGACGAAGTGAGAGAGTAGCATTGACATGTACACACAACCAAATGTAAAACAGATAGCTTCGGGAAGCAGCTGCATCACACGGGGACATCAACTCAGTGCTTTGTGACCACCTAGAGGGGTGGGATAGGGAGGGTGGGAGGGAGACACAAGAGGGAGGGGATATGGGGATATATGTATACATATAGCTGATTCACTTTGTTATAAAGCAGAAAGTAACACACCATTGTAAAGCAACTATACTCCAATAAAGATGTTAAAAAAAAAAAAAAAACCAGGCCAAAGTTGTTACTCCTAACTCTGGGACACTGTGACTCTGGCTTGATCTCTCCCAGGAATCATGGGCCAGGTGTGGGAGGCAGTGGTGATGGGCAAGAAAAGACGGAGCAGGGAGATTCTGCCACCTGGCAGAAACTCTTGGAGGAGCAGAGCCATGGAGGGAGAAAGACCTTTGTTTGAATTTTATTTACAAGTCATCAATAACCAAGATAATCACATTTTCCTCAGAACATGGAGGGTCATATGTCCCAATCCCTACTAAAATATGCTTCGTTGGTGAGGTGTCAATCTGCTGAGAGGTGAACTATTTGGGATTATGCCGTGGTATCCATTCCTTCTCATCTGCCATCCCCACAGATAGCGGCACCTGTGCTGCTGGGGAAAGGTTTTCCAAGACCCAGCACCAGGTGTCTTCTTGAACTGCTCTCTGATCTCTGCTTCTCTGCTCTGCCTTCTTGCTTAGCAAAAACAGTCACCACTGAGGAGTGCCTGGTGAACCCTGCGAGCATGAGCCGCTACAGCGTGGACTCCTCCTCCGCCTTTAGCCACAGGGGCTCCCTGCCCACCTCCTCTTCGTTGTACTGCAAGAGGCAGAACTCTGGAGACGGCCACCTTGGGGGAGGCTCAGCCACCACAGTCAGTGGTCCCCATACCAGCCCCATGTCCTCTGGAGGCCCCTCAGCACCTGGGCTGAGGCCCCCTGGCTCCAGCCCCAAGAGAAACGGGACCTCTCTTGAAGGAAACAGATGTGGTAATGTAATGCGTGCACTGGCTTCCCCATGACCTAACCTCCTCTGCCCTTGCCCTGGGACCACCAAATGTAGGGAGACCGGGGGACTGTAGCGGTTTGAACACAGCAACACTGGGAAATTAGAAGTTTCCACAAATCCCTTCATGGATTTTTGTTGTTCTTGAGGGCAGCTGACTTCAACCTTTGACCATAAGCAAAGAAAATGGTGTATTAGAGTAAGTTAGGCTGTAGGAATAAGTAGAATCCAAAATGTACAGTGGCTCAAATACAATAGAAGTTTTTTATCCAGGAGTCCAAAGTGGGTGTTCCTAGTTGGTGTGTGTATCCCAACTCAGGGACCCAGGATCTGTCCATTTCATGACTTTCCTGTCCCCTATGGCCCCCATGCCCCACGCATCTAGTGGTAGAAACAGAAGGAACAAACGAGGAAGATGAACATGTTTCCCTAGAGCCTGGAAGTGATGCCCATCGCTTCTACTCACGTTTCATTGGCAAGAGCTGGCCATTTTACCACACTTAACTCTGGGGGAATCTGAGAGGTGTAGACTAGCTCTGTGCCCGGAAAAAGAAGAACCAGAAGTTGCTAAAGACTTTTCTCTTGCACAGTGGTTGACTCTTGCAGGGTACAAACACATGGGCAGACCAGAGTTAAGTAAAATTCCCACAATGCTGGTTATTTATTTATTTATTTTTGTCCTGTAAGTTTTTTTGTTTTGTTTTGGTTTTCCATTTATTTATTTATTTAGGCTGCACTGGGTCTGAGTTGTGGCATGTGAACTCTTAGTTGTGGCATGCATGTGGGATCTAGTTCCCCAACCAGGGATCGAACCCAGGCCCCCTGTGTTGGGAGCCCGGAGTCTTACCCACTGGACCACTAGGAAGGGCCTCCCACAATACTGGTTATGATGCTACTTCTGTCTCACCCATTAAAGTTAGCTTATTGGAATGCAGTGTAGGAAGGTACTGTCATTCTAGGGGTAGGTTGATGTCCATTTTGATTTATGTTATTAAAAAAAATCATTTTCAATTCAGTATTTGAGTATGAATAGAGCATAGTGGATAATCACATGGACTGTGGAGCCCGATGGCCTGGGCTGGAATCCTGGATCTGCCATTTTCTGACTGTGTGACCTTTTGCAAGTCTGAACTTCTTTGTGCCTCAGTTTCCTCACCTGTGAAATTGGAATAATAATAATAGCACCTACTTCATAGGTTTGTTGGGAGGATTAAATAAATTCATGTGTATTTAGTACAAGGCCTAAGAGTTAGTAAGAGCTCAATAAACATCAGCAATGACAGATCACGTGAACACACCCCTCAACAGATCACAGCCCATCAACTCTACACCTGAGAACTCTAAAGAAAGGAGGCCAGAGGCCCGGGAGTCAGGGAGTCTTCATCTTGCCCCTCTGGTGCCTCCTGCGGGCTGGCTGTCTTCTCTGGCATTTCTGTTCTGAGCCTCGGCTCGTCCACTGGTAGCCCTGACAGCCACAGTGGTGAGCTATCGCGTATGATCCCAGATCCTCCACACACTCCCCTCAAAGAGCCTCACCATCACAGATGCGCCTCTGTGGGCCCAGGAGGGGAGACAGTTTTGAGGGGCAAGGCACTGTTCCCTCAGCCATGGGGGCTCTTGCCAAACATGGATGGCCCTGCTCCCCAACATTGTCATGCAGGGCCGTCGGCCAGGCAGGTTTGAGTGGGCAGAGCCCATTTTCCAAAGGGGAGAGACGTTGTTGCATCTGATTTCTAAGAACAAGAGAAGGGAACAAAACCCGCATCATAAAGTAAATGCACAAACCTGCATCATAAAGTAAATGAGGGGCAGCAGTTATTTCCTAGGTTTATCCCCAGAGTTAGTGTAATATCAGACATATAGTAGGCGTTCAGGAAACATTCTTTCTCTCTACCCCATTCCACTCCCCACATGGAGCCCAGTGCCCTCACATTGCCCCTGCTTGTCAAAGCCCTCATCCTGGGGTCTCTCTGCCCGTCACACGTCTCCTTCTCTCAACCTCTTCTCCTCAGTGCAATTCCCAGCTGCATGAGGTGGTGATCACAGGACACCAGGCTGATGGAATGGACTCATAAACCTAAGAGTATTGCCATTCTTTAAAAAGGAGGTATTTACTCTCCTATTTAAGTTGGTGAAATCTTAGACCCTATGTCTTAAGTGTAGGATTTCAAGTAGTAAGCGGAAGGCACGATTTGAACGGAGAGAACTTCTACCACTCCATCTGTCACTGAAGAGTTGTCTGCCCCATCCCAGCCCATCTGGTGGCCCAGATGAGGGGAATCCAGGATCCTTCAAAGGGGTCTCAGGTATTTAGCTCCCTCCCCCTTTCTCTTTCTGCCTCCTCCCAACAGAGTCCTGGGACGAACTCCCATCCCAACTCCAACAGCCCCCCTGTCCTTCCTTTTCATCTCTGCTTCAGCCCTTTGTTCTCCTGGAATTAGGTCCTCATCTACTGTCTGAGTAATCTAGCCAAAGGGAAGCCCAGACCCTTGCTCAGAACAAGCTCTGAGAGAGCCCTCTCTGTTAGAGCCCTAGATGCACCCCAGGAGAGCCCCACTAGCTCAGGACTTCTGCCTCTCAGGATCTTGGGTGAGACCAGAGAAATGGAGCCCACCAGTGCCTGCTGCCTTCCACTCCAAGCAAGCCACTGACCGTGGCCAGGAAGATGTAAGCAGAAGTGGAAAAAAGATTGGGTCAGCAACTGGCAGTTTCAGTCACTGCTGATTAGAAATGTTCCTTCCCTCCTGTTTCCTCCTGTGGCACTTTGTCTCCTCATCTCTAGTACTTCCTCTCTCTTGTCCCATAGTAGGAGCCAGACTCTCAGCTTCATGAGGTCTCTCACTCATATTTGAATCCTCTGCAGCCCCAGGAAAGGGGCCTGTTTGAGGCATATCCTAAATAGCTATTTATTGAGCACCTACTGTGGGCCAGACACTTTCCACACAATATTTCTGACTTATTATAAGTTATATCTTATAATTTATTATTATAGCAAGTATATATTATTATTGTAGGTATTATTATATTCAGTTTACATATACAGCAATTGAAGATCAAGTCAGTCAAGTGTTTAGTCAGGATTTGACTTCAACTGACTCCAAAGGTGGCTTTCAAAATTATCCCAGGGATTTTCAAACCATGCAAAATGGGCTTCAAGGGGTCCCTCAGAGGTTCTAGGGCATAGGAGAGAGGGGATGGGAGCAGATGGTACTCCAACACTGCCCTCTTTAACCAGGGCCTCTTCACATTAGAAGAGTGGGGTTCTACATTTGTGTAGTTTGAACAAAGTTTGCACAGCTAAACGCATTTGGAAACCATGGAGATAAACCATGCTGAATTGAGTGGCAGTATATTAAAGTAGGAGAGAAAACCCCTGGCCTCCTTACCCATTTGTCACCTAGCTGCCAGTCCAGGTGCCAGCTGCAGGCCCTCTGGAGGGCTGTTAAGTTTTCCCTCCACCCAAAGAAGTGCTCAGTATTGCTCTGAAATTGCATCCCAAGTGAAAGCAGTTGGTATTAAGAAACCATATCTCTTTAAGGGGGTTTGACCTAAGTCATAAACCTGGAAGGGACATAGAAATGTCCTTTGTGTCCTCCCCATGGTGCTAATCAAAATGGTTTAAAACCGCAGAAGCCAGAAAGTGGCATGAGGCTGCACAGGACAGTAGGTATCGATGACGTGACAAACTTCTCAGTCCTCTCTCTCATGTGAATACCTACCCTGGCCTCCTGTTGTCTTTTTTTTTTTTTAAATGTGCAACTCTTTTATTTAAAAAAAGTATAAAATATTATTAAAGGACATAAAAATGAATAAATCAATAGTTAAATTATACCCATCAATTGACCCAATATCATGATGGTACTAATGCTACCCAAATTACTGTGTATATTCCATTAAATATGTTCATGTCCTATGACCCAATAATACTTCTAGGAACATAACCTATAAAAACTTCCTCAGAGACATGTGCAAGGAAATTTTTTGCAGCGCTGTTTATAATTCCTCCTGCTGTCTTGATACATCATGCCCATCGCCTCTGTCAGTGGACTCTGAAGGGATGTATTCAAAGGACACGTTTCCCTGTTTTTTTGCTGATACTCAGGTGAAAATCTGAGAGCTCTCCTCTGTCTTTCATCCAAGATATAATCACTAAGAGCTATAAAGAGGTTTTAGGGCTTCCCTGGTGGCGCAGTGGTTGAGAGTCTGCCTGCTGATGCGGGGGACGTGGGTTCGTGCCCCGGTCCGGGAAGATCCCACATGCCGCAGAGCAGCTGGGCCCGTGAGCCATGGCCGCTGAGCCTGCGCGTCCGGAGCCTGTGCTCCTCAGCGGGAGAGGCCACAACAGTGAGAGGCCTGCGTACCGCAAAAAAAATAATAATAAAAATAAAATTTTTTTTAAAAAAGAGGTTTTAGATAACAAAAGCTTCCTGACATTTGCATTAACAGGAGATGCTGTAGCATTCCCAACCACAAGTATGTCCAAGCTTCAGAATTGAAGTGACTCTGACATTGTTATTACCACTCATATGCTTTCCATGGGTTGGAGTTTGATTCCATAGGGTATGGTGTTGGGTGACAGATAGAGAACAATTCAGCAAGAGAAAGAAGAATGGGGACAGCGCTCGATGTGGGGGGCGGGGAATGAGTGAAGGTGCGGCACGGCTTATTCATTCCAAGGAAAGAGAAGAGTTTGTGCAGGGACGCCAAGGGAAATCATGCTGGGAAATTTGGGGTTCAAGTCAAGCAGACTGAGCTTTCTTTACTCTGTGGAAACCAGACATGGCTGAACAGGGAAGTGAGCTGATGACCACAGAATTTAGGAAGACAAATCTATTGGCCATTATGGAATGATACATAATAATAAGAATAGCAACTATCTTTTGATTAATTCTTACCGTTTAATGCTTCACATTATCCTATTTAATCCTCACAACATGGTAGGTGTTTGACAGGTGAGGCAACTAAGACTCAAAGAGATGTTGGTCAGTCCTGGCCAGAAGATACTTATGGAGCACAATATGCCAGGGCCTCTTCTGAGGTCCAAGGATGGAGCTGTGAGCAAGACAGATGTGGGCCCTGCTCGCTGACAGCATCCAATTCCAGAGAGGCAAACGTTAACAAATGTTAACAAATGATTCTGAGGGGCCCCTTTTGGAGACTGATGGGCTTCCTTCCAAGACGCTTCTTGTCAGGCTCCAGCCCAAAGCCATATAGTCACTTGACTCCTGCAATACTTTTGAGAAACAAGCTGAAGAAACGGAGGCTCGTAGAGAATAGAATGATCAGGTCCAGGAAGGGGCTCAAAACCTGGCCATTGGCTCTGCATTCACTGTGCTTTGCACACAGACACACTGATGAGGCTTCAGATGTGTGAGAAAGGAGCTCTCTCGTGTTGCCCGGGACAGCCTGTGGTGTGAAGGGACCTTGGAGATCCTTCCTAACTCCTTATTTCACACCAAAGAAGCACAGAGACGCTTGCACAGAGGGTGGGTGGTAAGGGCGTCTAACTCCCAGCTCATTGTTCCTTCCATTCTTCCACATGACTCTATTGTTAGCTAAAAAGTTTCCTCTGAATTATGAATGAACAAAAGGAAATTATGCATGTGCTTGTGGGTCTGTGTGAGACAGAGAGCGACTCACAGGCAGCAGCACGAGTACCGGGGCTGTGAAGATATCCGGGGTTGCTTTAGACAGATTCACAGTCAGTCTATTCCTGGTGGATGTGAGTTCAGCGTTAGAAACAGCCACCACCATCCTTCATTCTACATCCATTCACAGCTGGGTTTTACTATACACACGTCTCCCGCATCGCCCAGGGAACAGACCCGACCACGTACGAAGTTCTCGGCGCTGGAGAATGCCACCTCCCATAAAGGCGGTTGGCAAGCGCTTTGCGTGCTCTGTTCCTTTAGGAGCAAGATATTTTCACCTCTATCATCATACCAGACCCATCTGTCTTCCTGACACCTTCGCAGCAGCTGGAGGGGCTAGTGTGCTTATTATCTTTGTGTGAGCACAGGCCATTGCAAAGGCTCTTCCAACCTGCTAGAAAGTTCCCTCTCTTCGTCCTAGAGCTAATTCATGTGCTTTGGATCCTGAGCAGGTCCCGAGGTGTGACAGCTTCCTGCTGCTGTCTTGTGTGACTGTGAGGCACCTCAGAGAGCAAAAGTGAAAATGCCCACAGCTAGTACCAGGTGCCAGGAGCGGAGCCACTTCCCCTCCACATTCATCACCTGGAGAGCTTCCCCATAAAGACAAGCCAGACCACCTTGCTCAACTCCATGGCTGTGGCTCATGGGGAAAGTATTTCCCTGGCCTTTTGCTCAAAGGACCTTAGGCTCCCATGGATGGTGTTGTGAGTCGGTCTGGTGGTTTTCCTTCCTGTCAAACACAGGAAATTAGATTTGACCTCCGCTCTGATCACTCTAAAATCATTCTTGGCACTGAAGACTTCCCGCCTTTGTAATCAGAGCATCTATTATCACCCTGATTATCGCCGACGCTCCGATGGGGCAGGCTCCAAAGGCAAATGCGATTTCCGTGGTTCCTCTTCCCCATGTTGAGTGCAGATGTCTTTAAATGCAGTGAAATCATCTCTAATAAGCATGTGTCGGCATTCAGATGGCCCCAGGGTGTATTAACAGTTTCCCGCCAAAATGCACCACCCCAGCCCGCGCCAAATCACCTTAGGGGACCCTTCCAGGTCCAACAAGGAAAAGGCAGGGAAAATCTCAAAGTAAATCCAATTCTCAACCAAACTATTATGTATTTAGGACAGACTTCAAATGTGATGCTGTACTTTTCTCAGCACTACTGGAGAACCGTGCACTTCTCAAGTACATTGAAAAGAGGAGGAAAAAAGGAGACAGCAGAAAACCACTGCACCCTGAGATTAAAGAAGGGAAATGGAAGTGAAGGCTTCCCAACTTCTAACTTAGATTTATTCTGTAGGGAAGCTGCTTCATTGTTCAGAGCCTGAAAATAGGATTAAGGATTACTCGCACAAAGCTTTTGTGTAAGTTACTTATACTGTTTCTGCAAAGTATATTGAGTCATTTTACATTCATTGAACCCATATTACAAATATATTTGCATGGAGCTGTGGAGAGTCAATGATTATAAACTCTGTAATGAGAGGATCCCATTTTTCACCAAACACTTTGCCCAGGACCTGGTACACAAGAGACACTCAGTAGATGTCCGTGGATGAATAGGGGGAAGATGCAAAAGATAATCCTCGAGAAATTAAAACTAACTGGAGGTTCCAGGCAAGCACATGCATAATGGTAATACAAGGCAGATGTGGAAAGCATCTTTAAGAAAAGCGCAAACAAAAATTTGGGAGTTAAAGGTAGAGGAAGATGACATCCAGATGGCAGGACACGGAAATGCTGCCTGTGAAGGGGTCTACCTGGGCTTTGATGGCTGGTAGAGCTTCTTTGGAAAGGAGGGAAGGTAAACACCTTCTAGAGAGAAGCAAAAGCACTAGCTAAGGTGGAGACTGGAAGCTGGAGGAACTTTCGGTCAGAACCAGTATGCCCAGATGGGAGTGTGCAGAAGGGCAGGGAGGCGGGCAGGGAGGCAGGCAGGGTGCCTCCTTCCCTCTGTGGACCACCTGATGCAGGTCAACCATAAGGCCAGCCCCAATCCCACTTGCATCCTCACAGCTGCCCTTCCAGGTGGAGAGCATTGCCATTTTACAGCTAGCGACGGGCAGCTCCAGGATTTGTCCCTGGGTTTCTCTGGCACCAAAGCTCTTCCTCTCTATCCAGGCAGGAAAGATGTTCTTGAGACCAAAGAGAGCCCTTGATCTTGTGCTAGAGTACGGACTTGGTGCACGGGCGAGGGGCATCCACAAGGGGCACTAGGGAGAGTGTGAAGACGTGACAGTTTTTGCTCTAGAAGGAATAAAGCGTGAGGTGAGGACATCTGCTAGAAAACCTTTGTAGAGGGTCAGGTAAGAAGTTCCCGGATTGGGGCAGCAGGGATGGAAGAGAGGAGACCAGTGTGAGAGGCATCCTTCTAATAGCTTCAGAATAATTAAATGCGGGGAGCAAATAAGGGACAGGAGGTAGAGATATCACTGAGGTTTCAGAAACATGAGAGATAGGAGGGGATGCTGGTTCTAGGGAAAGAGGATGAATTCGTTTGGGATATACAAAACAAGTCACCCCCTAAATATTGCCTAAATATTGATTCACTACTCTCTCCTCCTTCATATGTCCTGCACCTTTTAATCTGCCATGTGGGAAAAGCATTTATGCAGCAATGCAACTCATGCCACAATCACTGACCAGGGACCAGCTGTGGACCAGGCACAGAATTAGGCTCCTGTTGTCAAGGAATCCCTCATCTAGTGGGAGGTTGGAGTGCGTGCTCTGACAGACCTGAGGGCTGGCGAGGTGCTCAGTGTAGGCGGTGAGTCTTCTTTCTGCACATGCAGAGCAGGGCATGGACCTCTCACAGACAGGGCTTCTGAGACCCAGGACAAGCACAAAATGCCCCTCCATTCCGCTGCGTCCTTCTTGTCTCAGGGTGACACCAGTGGAGGCGGAAAGGACCTGAAGTCGTTTTGGCATCACAGCACTACAGAGGTCTATTTGGAGCTTCATGGAACCTGGTTACAGCAGGCCCGGGGCCCACTGAGACAGGACTGATCAGGAGGGGTCTTTAAAACTCTAACATGGGTCAGCATTTCAACCTGCTGGAGGAGATCCGTTTTCCAATGCTCTATTCCCTGGGAGAGCAGAGAACCTCTGTGTAGAGGGGGAGGCTGCTGCCCTTAGGAGTGGCCTCCGGTGCTCCAGGCTCCTGCCAAGAGCAGGCACTTCTGGCCTTTCTCTGTCGCAGGAGTTCACTCGGGCCGCCGCCTTGGACTCGAGGGCCAGGTGGGGACAGGAGGCACCAGGTAGGTGCTAAGGCCCGAGGCCTGCTGTCTCATGGCCTCCCTCTCTGTGCTCTACCTTCCAGCCTCAAGCCCTTCTCCGGACAGGCAGGACACCCAGCGGCCAAGGAGCAGGAACCCCTCTACCTGGTCCGTGGAGGATGTGGTCTGGTTCGTGAAAGACGCAGACCCGCAGGCTCTTGGGCCCCACGTGGAGCTCTTCCGGAAGCATGTACGCGCAGTGGTGGGCCTGGGGGCGGTCAGGGGGCTGCGGGGGGCTGTGCACTGTGCCCGGGGGCACCACTCAAGGGAGGCCAGATGGAACCACAGGGTTCTCAGAGCGGAACAACCACCTAGTTTCTTTGTCCCATCCGTTCCCTCACTTTGGCCTTTATCAGGAGTGCCTGTTTTCCTGCCCATCCATCCATCTGTCTGTGCATCCGTCTGTGCATAAACAAACGTTTATAGCACACCTACAATATGCCAACAGACAGTGCCTATTCCTAAGCTGCTTTGAGGATTAAATGAGAAAATGCACATAAAGTGTTCAGCACAGTGCCTAGCTCGTAGATGGCCTTTGATTAGCAGGCCATCTACATATTTGCATAATTATTTAGGAGATTCTAAAATATATAAAGATGGTAATTTTTTAAAAAAAGGTAAGAATTAGTACTTTACCTGCCAAACTTCCTATGTCAGTTATCGACTGTTGCTATAACCCGTCACCACAAACGTAGTAGCTTAAACCCACACAAGTTTATTATCTTACAGTTCAGTGGGTCAGGAGTCTGACAGGGGTCTCACCGGGCTAAGACCAAGGTGTCGGTGGGGCTGACATTCTTTCTGGACGCTCTAGGGAGAACTCATTTCCTTCCCTTTTCAGCACTGAGATCCGCCCTCATTCTTGGCTCCTACCTCACTGTCCTCATCCTCAGAGCCAACAACATCAAGCTGAGTCCTTCCCAGACTGCCAACTCTTTGGTTTTTTCTTCTGATTTCTTCCTCCACTTCGAAGGGCCCTGTGATTTCACTGTCTCCTCCCTCCCCAATAATCCAGGATACGCTTCCTATTTTAAAGGCAGCTGATTAGGAGCCTTCATTCCATCTGCAGCCTTAATTCCCCTTTGCCAGGTAACCTAACATATTCACAGGTTTCAGGGATTAGGACGTAGCAAGGACCGCAGAGGGGTTATGTTTAGACAGATCTGGGTGGGAGGACTCTGGCTTCCTTCCAGCATGACAGGAGGCAGTGGAAGTCTAGGAAGTGGGGGAAAGAGAGAACATTCGGCAGTGAGGCCCCGGGGAGGGCCCGCAGATGAGCTCTGAGTGACGCAGGGTAGGTGCTTCATCAGTGCTGGCTGAGTGGCTGGCTGGATAGAGGAATGAGAAGGGCTGCTCTATGAGTCCTGTACTGTGCCTCTTCTCCCCACCTGAGCACCCAGAATCTCTACCCTTGGTCTCTAGTAATCTGAAAATAGCACTATAGGTGAAGGAGGAAACCCAGCCTTACTAAGGAGTGATACAGTGTGGTAGTACAGGCGGAATGATTGGCTACAGCAGTGAAAAATGTGGTACCTACTGGTATGCTCTTGGGGTTCTTATACATGTAGCATAGATGACCTTTACAGTGTCCCTCCCACCTTCCCACCTGCATTAGGTGTTCTTTTTTTTACATTTTTATTTATTTATTTTTTGAACTTATTTATTTTATGTATGTATTTTTTTGGCTGCACTGGGTCTTCATTGCAGTTCAACATGCGGTCTGGAGGGTTACCATTTTCAGAGACAAATGGGAGCAATATCGGGACCTCAGAGGATTGGCATTCCCTTCGTAATTATTTGTGCTAAACCCTCAGATGAAGCAGGTGCATTATTTAGTTGTATGCCACCTAGTATTATTGACAGGGCCAAAAAAACACCTGAAATCCCTTATAGAGTGTTGTTAGCAATTTGGTAATCAGTGAAAGGCAGGTGAGTGTCCCACGAAAAGAAACCAGAGATTAGGATGATGGATGGAAGTCAGGGCCTTATACCAGCACCTGGAATGGAAAGGTAACTACTAGTTTCAGGGTCTAATGGGATGATACTTTGCCTTAGTCAGTCCAGGCTGCTGTAACAAAGTACCACAGACTAGCTGGCTTATGAACAACAGCGATTTATTTCTCAGTTCTGGATGCTGGCAGTCCAAGATCAGGTTGCCATCAAGGTCTGCTTTTGGTGAGACCCTTCTTCCAAGTTTCGGACTGCCATCTTCCCATTGCATGAGGACACTAATCCCATTCACGAGGGCTCCACCCTCATGACCTAGTTACTTCCCAAAGTCTCTCCTCCAAATACCACCACTTGGAGGTTAGGATTTCAGCATATGAATTTGGGGAGGGGGTAGGGGGGGCACATTCAGTCCATTGAACACTTCTTTCTTGTTTAGCCCTAGATTGGATGAAGAGATAAACGTATGTGGGATATTGGGAGTATGGCTGGGACTATGTTAGATTCCTTCAATCAGGAGAGAGCAGGAATATGAAAGATCCAGTGTATCAAACGACCCCAGGGAGACTATGGGAAGAGGAGCACATAGTATTTGTAGGCTTTCGTTTATTTTCTTAAGGTCTTGCCTTGGGACTAAGAGAATATGCATCTAAGTCAATCCATATTCCCTTACTTTACTCCCTGACCATACTCTAACTGTGGCCACTATTTGATTACTTTGACCACTTTCTGGGTTTTCTTTTTTTCTGATTCTGTTCCACCAGGAGATTGATGGCAATGCCCTCCTGTTGCTGAAGAGTGACATGATCATGAAATACTTGGGCCTAAAGCTGGGACCTGCACTGAAACTCTGCTACCATATCGATAAACTGAAGCAAGCCAAGTTCTGAAGGTGTTTAAAAGATAGAAGCAAAATCCAGACAACAGATCTCCAGATCCTCTTCTGCCTTAACAACATTTGCCACCATCACAAAGATTCTCTCCTGAACAAGAACAGCCACAAAGACTTGGTCTTTTTATAAAACTCGTGCATCTTGACCTTTTAAAAAATTCAACATGGCCCTTTTGAAAGGTTCTTCTGTGTTGATGATTTGCCAAAAAATTACAAAGAAGCCTGTTATTTTTAACATTTCTGGTAGGTTGGTTGCTCTTAGGGTGGGTACTGTTTTTATAATGAGAATGTGGAGAACTGAATGCTATCACCCAAGGAGGACACTGGAGACGTCCAAGGATGTGAGAAGAACCTTTGTCCCTGCAGGCTCTGAGGGGACGCCCACCGCAGCACTACCTGTCTTTAGCTCTGACTTGGGGACCCTATCATTGTGAGCCTTGCTTAATTCAGCTCTGGAAGCTGTCTTCTGAGGTTAAATGCCTCACCTTGCACTATCTGGAAAACTTGAATTCTTTCACTCTCTGAAAGAGAAGGGAAAAAAAAAGTCTTTTCTATTCCTAGTTATCTGAAGTACTGTGTTTCCCCACTAGAGGGCAGACTGCTAATGTATTTTCCGGACCCTCACTTCAGCAGCCTGATATTCAATACCCAGTGGATGGATTAGGGTTTCTGTGAACAAGACCTAGCCTACACAGACACAGGGAATTTATTCCACAGTCAGCACCACAGATTGCAACTTGGGAAGAAACCGTCTTCTAGAAGGTTCTAGTTCATATCCAATCATTACTGACTAACTGAGGTGCACCAGCAGCAAAGTCAAGAATTTGGAAGCACGTTCTTCCCAGATGGGGCTTTGGAGTTCCTTCCCTTCCAGCGTCATTACTGAGGTGTCGATGTATTGGCATGCCGCAGAGCTTAGTGACATTTAGCCATGGTGTTTCTTTAAAAAAGAAGAAAGATGTCTCTACTAAGCTTTGAAATGGGAGAGTGTTGATTTCTAGTTACACCGTGGGATTATATAGTTGTATGTGTGGCTAATTTTAATAATAATAGCATGTACACAGACATGCTATTATTGGGTTTAATTCAATTTACAAATAGGTTTTCCTTTCTCACCGTGGAGTAATAGAAAAAAATTGATTTCTACCCTTTTGCAGCTGTGTCCAGAGACGGACAATGAATCCACAATTTACTAGGCAGAAGGGCAGCCTTGTCTCCATTCTTCTTTTGATCCTTTTCCTTTCTCTCTCTCCCTGTCTCTTTTTTCCTTCCTCTCTCACTGAATAGGAAACGTATCTTCAAAATGAATTTGCCTTTGCCGTGGGCGTGTCCTCTTCCTTAAAAAACGTCCGTAGTGCTGTAAGGGAGGAGATGAATACTAGACTTTGTGATCTCTGGGAGGGGGAAGATCAAGGGCCACTCAGGGCCTCCCTTGGCCCAAATGCAAATCAGAAAAGGCACACCATCCTTGGGATGCAGCCTGGACGGGCGTCTTGGCCGGTGAGTGGAGCAGGGTGGGATTGCAGCCTTCTCACCCCTCCACCAGGTGACCTTGTGCAGGACAAGACCTGTACAAACTTGAGGGCAGCCCTGGGTAGATCTGTGTATTGATCCTCTATAAATCAGTTAGAACTTGGACAAGGATCATAAGAAACATTCCAAGCCATGCTCTTAGACCCACTTGATGAGTGGTATTTGAGAAAGCACATCAGAGCAAAATCCTTTTTAGACACGCAAATGGTGGCGGACTTAAAGCGTGACAGAAAAGGGATAAAGCAGAGTGTCCTAAAACTGCCCATGGAACTGAGCTTGCGTTATCAGGCTGTGGGAGAGCTGAATGTCTTGGTCCCGGCACCTGACAGAACTACCCTGAATCAGGCCTTGGGACAGCATCTTCAAGATTTTGAAACAATAAATGGACTCTGTCCCTCAAAGTTTGTAAATCGTGAAGTGCTCACTGCTGATCTGGAGTTAGATAGTTGCCCTCAAAAAACCATGGGTAGGGCTTCCCTGGTGGCGCAGTGGTTGAGAGTCCACCTGCCGATGCAGGGGACGCGGGTTCGTGCCCCCGTCCGGAAGGATCCCACATGCCGCAGAGCGGCTGGGCCCGTGAGCCATGGCTGCTGAGCCTGCGCGTCCAGAACCTGTGCTCCGCAACGGGAGAGGCCACAACAGTGAGAGACCCGCGTACCGCAAAAAACAAAAAACAAAACCATGGGTAGTGTATATATTCAGAACGGCCAGTGTGAAAACAGTGAGATCCAGAAAATCCCACGACAGCCTATGTTCCTCACTCCACCATTTTTGCTCAATTCTCTGAAACTTGTGGTGCCTCTTGCATCAACATATACCTCATATAGAGATTTTCAAAACTTTCTACCATTCTTAGTAGTGCCTCCCTCGGTACAAACACATCAACATTGGTGCCGCCAAATCAAAATCATCTGCAAACAATGTCAAGGAGATACTCGGAGTCGTTTTCAGGGGAGAGAGATTTTCCCATCTCAAGTCTAGGAGAAAACTGGGTCCACGTTCATGTGGAACTGCTCTCACAGAGATGCTATCTCATTTTGCATTAAACTTTAAGCAGGACAGATTGCTGAAACCATGATATTTAAGGTTTGACTTTTTAAAAATCTCATTACTCTTGAAATGAATGCTGTCACGTCAGAGAATAACCTAAGGAGGAAATTCTTCCTTTCCTGTTTTTGCACTGAAATGCAGTTAGCCGACCAAATTATTGTTGCAATACTGCAATTAAATTAATTTTCACCCCTTTCAAAAATCTTGTCAAACCAGGCAGTTCAATAGCTCAGCAAATGTAAAACATACCAGGCCATCTCCTCTAAACGGACCTTAGGCAGAGTCATGCCACGTGTGTCATTCTCATCCGAATGGGAGCTTATTTGGGGGCCCTTAAACTTGTACAGATGTGTTACTTGTTATTCCATGGCAGTAGATTTGCTCCAGGTTGTGGTAAACAATGATATAGTTTTGCATAATTTCAAATTAGTGTGTGTGTGTGTGCTCATATCGCAAACATTTCCAATTACACTTGTCTGTTAAACACGTTTAAAAAAAAAATCTAGAGACAGTTCTGTTGCCTAAGGCATTTAAAATATTTTATGAGGCACATTATTCCCTTTGTGAAGACTTCAGGTAAAAGAAGTGCATTTCGTCTCTGTGTGTGTGTGTGTGTGTGTGTGTGTGTGTGTGTGTGTGTGTTTCCTGATACTGTAGTGGGAAGAGCCTTTGAAAGTGGCTGGGAGTGTATCAGCTTTTGCATTTGCTTCGTTTCAAATGCCTTCCCAGCTTTGTAGCCCTGAGGCAGAACCCTCTCTAAGCTGTTACTGCCAAGTATACCCTCTAACACCAACAGGGTGTGCCCTGGAGGCAGCTGGGGGACAGTGCTGGGGTTCTGGGCCTGCCCAGGTCAGGTGCTAACTGGACTCACCAAGCCAGCCCAGGCTCTACTCCGTGTGACTAAGGGGACAGGCCTCGCCTGGGAGCCCAGTGGGCTGGTTTAGTGCCCACCAGAGCTATACAGCGCTTCCATCATTTCTCTTCGGCAGGGCTGCCTCGTATTTTCCTTTACAGCAGGAGAAAGGAGTGGGGAGCTCCTCAGGAAAACCAAATAGGGTATTAAAATACACTGGGGAGGAATACTGTGTGAGAAGGAAACAGTAAAGAAGGGAAGATAAAAATAACTGTCCTAGGAAGACGATAAGAGAGCACCTCTTCTAACAGGCCCAACCCTCTGAGCTACAGTAACCTATTTTTGTATTTATGTGCTGCATGGAAGATTTCTTATTTTATTTAAATTAAAAGTATGTTTTTTATTACTTTCTGAGATTGTTTTAGGAGAATTTTGTCATGGCTCTGAAGATGATTGGAAGTGCCCAGAAGTGACCAGGGACTTGAAGTTAGTCATTGTCAGAAGGTCTTGAAAGATGGAGATACTCTGCTTTCTAAGAAACTAGCCAGGTTTCCATACGTGTGAGTGGGAGGTGAGTGCTGTGTGACATTCGCTCTGATCTGGTGCTTTTTCAACTCTTCTCCAATGGCTTAAGAGGAGGAGGAGGAGGAGGAGATGGGACTCACGTTTTTTTCCTTAAACCTCAGATAACAAGACAGGCAATTGGGAAGGAGGAGATGATTTCTCAAAACTGCAATATTTTGTTAAGGAGAGGGATGAACACCTGTCCGTGGTCTTGGTTTATTTTTTGTTACAAACTCACTCCAAGAACTAGGTAGCTGCCCAGCTCTGCTGTGGTCTTGCCACGTGCCAAGTTCCCCATGGCATGAGATGACCGTGCTGAGAAGCCCAGCGGTGAGCCCAGCAGATGGTCTGCCGTCTAGAGGTACAAAGAGTCCTGTTCCCATCTTGTGATGTCACCCCAGTGGCTACTTTCACAGGACTCCCGGCCGTGCTGCCCCGGGAAGAGGGCTGGGAGCCTCAGCTTCCAGGGTGCCCTTCCCTCCAACCATTATCCTAATCGAAGACGATTCCTTCATGGACAATTGGAAGCTGGATTTTTGGAAATCTAGCATTTACTTGAAAGAGAATCGTTCTTATTTATTGCCACCAGTTAAATATTATGGAAACATGTCTGCTAACAATTTGCTTTGTGTAATTTGTTCTAATGCTAATAAGCAACAGCTGGGACACTTCCTGTGGTAAATTCCTCTGTGGTTACAGTGGTATCATCACACATGGACTTCACCAAATCACTGTACTTGAGAAGAACGCTCACTCTGGCTCTCTAGGCTGCAGGAAATTCCCCTAACTTAGAAGCAGTTCTGGGCAAAAGCGTATTTTTAGAGGAGGATTTGCTTTTCTTTGCTCCCTGCTTTTCTAAACAGGGCCCCAGACCTGTGCTCTTAAAATCCTACATAGAGAGCCTGGGGTTCTCCTCACGCTCAGCATTGAGCTTGATTTCCTCCAGAGGAAAAACAGCCAGCAGAGCTAAAGAATGACCCTTTCCTCCAGGTCAACGTGCTGTACGCATAGTTGATATGGGGCACAAGAAGGGTGGAGACGAGTCCGAGGGCCAAGAGCTGCTCAGCAGTTGGTTAAGTAATGATAGCCGACAGTGTGGGCATCTTTCCGTCCAAAGGGTCTAAATATACCATTCGGACTTGCTCTGGGCTGCCAGCCCACCATTCTCTGCTCTGTAGCTCGACCACATGACCTGAGCCTTCGAGTTGGTTCCCTCTATTAGATGCTTGTTGTAAGGGCCAACACAAACGTCTTCTATTGATTGGATCCTACTTTGGAACACAACCAAAGCCTTGCTTCTCCAAACAGCTCACTATGAGACAGCAGACCCACACTGGGTGTCATTTTACAGTAAGCATATGTGACCGAAGGCTACCTCCATCATAAATGTAGCATCCTCCAACCTTAGGCAGCTTCCACCTCCCCATCCAGTGCTGGGACGCCTTCCCCACAGCCTGACCGCTTCTCATTAGGGGGAGTTGACTCCCATAGGAAGTGGCTTATTTCTCTGTTGGACAGCTCTGGTTGTGAAAACGTTATTTCTCAGGGAGACACAGATGTCTGTGAATCAGACACAGACGTTTGAGATGAAGCCAACTTTGCAATCTTTCTCTTTTTTAACAGAGCTTGTCCATGCAGTAACCACACCTATAATATAAATTGACATTGGCGAATAGATCCCGGCTCCACTACATTAGCGTAGAGGAGCAGACACTGAATATCAATGTGGGACTCAGATAGGTCATAGCCATCAGATTCATCAGCCCTGTCATGAAAAACTATCGAAATTCCTGTGGTCTCACACACACAAAAAAAGGGTGTCCTGGGAGAATCTTTAGTGTAGTTGTAAATCTGGCTGTGGTCACATAAGCATGTGAGTTACAAAAGTTTGCATGAATGAATCTATAAGTCCATGCACCTCATTAACTGGAAAAGACACTACGAGACGTGGAAGCCCTATCTCTTAATTGTACTCACTGGTGATATAATAAACTAAGGAAGCTGAAGCTTTTAGTTTAGACAAAAACAAGTTATAATTGATGATAGAAAAGTAAACATGGTCGGTTGTGAATTTATGCAAGAGGTATGCAGTTTATGACACCAAGCCCATGTGGATTTCATGCTTGTGTGTGCACGCCCCCGTGAGTGTGTCTTTGTGAGTTAGTGCAATAAGAGGTGGGAACTGGGGAAGGTTAGAGAAGGGATTGCAAAGGGAGCTTTTGCTTTCTAGAGCACTCTTATTCAGAAGAGCTATCTAGCAATGATTTAGAAATCAGATCCCAAAGTACACATAACATGTAGTTTACGTAGTTTGCTTAGATAAAATTCTGGATTATGGAGCAGATTCTCGATGAAAATAAGTAGCTACAATTATATCTAGCACCTTGCACAGCGGCACCTGCCATATATTGTAAAAGGCACCTCATGAATATTAATTCACTGAATGAACAAATGCTTGACTAGTTTCGTATTTTATTCAAAAAGCCACTAGTTTCTTTTTGAACCCCATATCTTTACTGAAAGGAGAAGTGCCAAAGGGACAGGCCAAAAGAAGAGATAAGGCGTTTTGTTTCCTCTGATTCCCCAAACGCTCAAGGAGGTCAACCCCGTAG